TTTAATAATATATATATATATATATATAAAATATATATTTATTAACAGGACTACACATACAGTTATTATTACTAATATTGTAACAGTAATAATCATAATTATAGTCACAAATAGGTACTAAAAATTTTTCTCTCAATATACCTGGGATGCTATGTCATCCTGTTTATCAACTTAAAGATTAATATAATATATAAGCGATTCAAAATAAGTACAATAATAAGTTCTCAGGACTCATTTTTCACACGGAAATCTTTGAGAACAATCATATAGCGTAAGACAATCGATAATTCATCTTGGCAAATTCTCGACGCTTAATCTCCGAGAGGCAAACATCCGACATTTCAACGAGCGCTAACCAGCAAACGGGTTATGCGAAAATAAACCATTCGTGACACGCGCTCTTCCTTTCTCCACGCGTTCACCGAAGAGGATTTGCAATCTTTGTTTTAAATCGACAAAAATTACAAAGCGAAAAATGCAATGGTATGTGTCGATATTTCGTTCAATCAAACTATGTCACTTCAATTCCTAATTTAATTCGAATTTATTGGTATTCGGTCAAAAATATTCTCTGCAGCACGTCATGTTCTGCGGAAAAATAAATCAGAATATCACAGATATAGTCGCGTATACGGAGCATTATGTAGAGGAATGTCATAAGATGAGAAGCTGGTTTGTAGAATTAGATGAGAATAAGGAGGAAATATGGAGTAAGTCATGGAATGAAGATTTAGATACTATGAAAGGCAATCTTCTAAGGAAATTGTGGAAAGAGAGAAATGGGGGCTTGAAGAAAAGGACAGACATAAAGATTCAAGCATTGTATAGAACAATTAATTAGTAAGAGAGGTAGAGAAGAATACAAAAATAAAGAAAAATACTAGAATTTTGCGTAAAAATTGTGCAATAATCAGATAAATGTAAAAATGTAAAATAATATGAGGTATTTGATTAGAAAGATCATGAAACTTAGGATACAAAAGATAAAAAAATATAGGTTTAAATAATATTTAGCTATCGAATTTTAATTAGTTATCAATCATAGATAATGATATAGATAAATATATAAGATCAAGAGAAGAAATAATAGATATAAATTATATCTTCTATTCAAGAAATTATAAATAAATAGCTTTTTGGCATAGAAGCTAAAATAATAAATATCCTATTTACATGTAATCACATGTAGATTTATAATTTATATTTTAACATGCGAAATAAAATATAAAATTGAGTTCTGTATAAAGCTTATTATAAAGCATGAGTGATTATAAAGTGATTTCTGTCATAAAATTTTGCATTTATTTTTTACTTTCACATTATATAACACATGTTATATGTTAATGTGAGAAAAAAAAAGTAAAAATTTATTTTTATATTTGATGCAATCTCTTGTAGTTTTTTAAATCTATCTATATAATATTGTATTTCCTATAATCTTTATCACACATGAAATTTTTACAAATATTGTTGACGTAATCTATACTGATCATTTTAATAAGTTTTTACTTTAACTTTTAGGTCATCAAAAATTATATGTTTATAGTGATAAGTTTATTAAAATAATAAGTCTTTTATCACAATATACTTGTCATGGCCGTTGACTGACGTGTTAATTAACCACAATAATTGCGCGTTATCGGGAAGGATTAAGTTCTGACGCTATCACAAAGGAATTATTATTTCTCAAGCGCGATTGAATCTTGACGTCAGCATAATTCGAAGCATTTCCCGAAATACATACGTGCGATTCGATTAAGCGGTTTGTCTGCGACGGAAATTGGAATGCCAATGATTTAAACTCGATTAGTATATTATATTATAAATCATCGATATCCGCGTCATAAGCAGCCTCTTCAAAATGAAGTGGAAATCAGACTCACATACAAATAATTATATACCATTCTGATAAATGGTAATTCAATTTAGCGAAAATTAAATGTAGGCAAAATCTCTTGACAAACACATGACAGTGATAGAGGAAACATTTCGATAAATTACTATCTGAGATGCTGACTGAAGGTAATTCTGAATAACGTCAATTGCTCATTTCCATTTTTATGTACATTATGCGCACAAAGGAATACTTTATACAAACGCAGTCTACGTTTCAGATGTATGTACAAACAACAATTTTGCTAGTATCTAAAAATTTAGCTAGATAGAAAATAACTTTATTGAATCACATTAAAATAATTACTCTAAAAAATATCGATGTAAATTTAAAATCATGCTGTATCTATATAATTCTTTATGTAATTCTGTGTTGATATAAAATATCTCGTTAATATAAATAACATGATGTGAATTTATATAAGATTGTCACAAATTCATTTTAAAATTTCATAACTTTTCCTTGATTTTCAAACAAAATGTCATGACTTTTTTTACTATTAATAATATTTTAAATTTTTTAAATATTTTCCTGATTTGGAAAATGTTAAATATTTTGTTAAAAGAGATCAATTTAATATAGTAATGTAAATTACTATTAATGTTGTTAAAAACATTGCTTATATTTTTAATTGTTAAATTGGTAATATTCTAAAATTATATACATGACGTATTAAACTTCTTTGAAGTCAAGAATTTTAATTTTCCAGAAAATTTTGTAAAATTTTCTGACTCTTTTCTGATTTCTCTTAATTTTTTATTTCCCTAACAATTCTCTGATTTCTCTGATTTCCAGTTTTGTTATAGTCCTTGATATTTACATCAACCTATGCCATTAAATCCACACGATAATTTTTAAAGTGTAGGAATCTCAAGCATGACAATAATTGTTGCAACAAGTTTTTAATTCAAGCAACCAGTTTGAGCAACCTACATAATTACTTTGATGACCCAATAAAATTATTTTCAGTATGTATTCAGTATTCTGTATCAAGCTAATTTTTTAGATACTTCAGTAAAACCATTCTTTCCGTGTAGAAATGGCGAGACAGAGGGAAAACTACAATCGGAATCAAACGACACATGCGTAATCATCGTTCGGAGAAAACTACAGTTCTAAACACGTGTACGAGAAGGCGACAACAGCTGACGGTGGTAGCTCCCGATGGTGGGGACAAGTAACACGCGTGGCACTCACACGGTCGATCGCGACATATCAGACTGATAAGGGCATTTTTGCTCCTCACACCACGGCGAATGGACGCGCATTATTTCCACGAGTGCCACAATATCGCTTCCGTGCCGCGCGAATTATGCGTAATAACGCGCTAATATCTACAGAACATCCCGCAGCCACCATTGGCAGTGACCATCCTCTCTATTCCTCAAGTATTCTGAGGACAAGATTTCTTCTTTCTTGAATAAAAACGCGAAAAACCGCATCGTCAATTGACAATACAAGCTTCATGTTCGTATAAGTTTCAAATACACTAAATGACGAAAAGTTATTTTAGAATTTAATTGTAGAAGAGTTTAAAAAAAGTGGCCAATTCAGCGCAGATAAGGAAACTTGAAATGAATGGCAATAGTTCTAAAATGCATTGAATATTCACCTTTCATACGTAATGTATATTAAAGAGTTTTCACAAGATAGAGTGAATAATAAAAATGCAAGACTACCTTTCACTGTTTAATTTTATTTTACTAATCGACCTAATTCCTAATTTAAACGCGAATAATTTATGAATATTTTACTATGTTAATTTATGTAACATTAAGAAAATTGTATGTACCTTTTGAAGCAGATCGTCTAGTTGACGGTTAAATAAACGAACAATTTATCAAGAGCTCCAAAATTTAAATATATGAAAAAGAAAGATTACTTACCGTTGAGACCATACTTCTCCTGATTCCTTTTGACTTGATCGGGACTTAGTCCCTGGTCGGGATCGACGTTGAAATAATTTATCACTTCTTCCACAGTTTTACAATGGCCGTCCTCCATGGTTATTGCTTCGTAGATGCTTCACCAATGTTATCCTTTCAGTGATGATCGTGTACGTTCATTCACACTAACAATTTCTGAAAGTAAACAGAGTTATTTGTTACACAAAATGTTCGTTACGTTACACGTACCAAAAATAATAAAGAGAATAACAGAACAGAAGATCATCAGAGAATTACTTCGACGTAAATAAATTAAGCGCAAGTAAAAAAAAGCAGCACAAATTATACAAATATCAGCAAGGTTATATGAATAGTAGGTCATCCGTTCTGAATGAAATAATTGAAAAATTAAATAAATGTTATCAAAAGAATTATTCTAAACGCCTTAATTTTTTTAAAATTATTTAATCCTTATTCAGATTTATTCAATCGAATTGATATTACATATTATATACAATGAGTGCAAAAATTATTGATAGATGGGAGATATCTTTAAAAAAATCTTATATATTTTTAAAAAATAAACACTAATTAGCAATTTTTTAACAAAAAATAGAATAGGGCTGTTTAATTATTCTCAAAATTTTTCTCATTATTTTTCCTAAAAACATGTGTGTTAATTAATGTATATTATTTTAAAAACACATGAAAATGAAAATTTATATTATTTGGACGCACAAAAAGTATTCGTACAGTAAAGAAATTGAAATTCTAAGATCGAAAATACGCGAAGTTCTTTTGTCTATATTAAGACAGAACGTACTCAGCGTAAAAAATTGCTAATTAATGTTACTAATGTCTTGTTATATAAATTTTCCCTGTAGGAATACTTTTGCATTCATTGTATCATCATATTATATAATTTATTACTTTATCGTTACATTATATATATATCATGTATTATATGTAATACACATTAAGGGCAAAATGTTTCAAACATACAATATTGTCTTCATTTATTCTCAAAATGCTAAGTCACGAGATAAAAAAAAATTAAGAAAATAATCTCTTTTCAGAATATCCACAGAATTAAATCCTTTTTTTAGATGTTAGAATTCTATACTGAATTTTTTTATTAACAATTGCATCTATAATTATTAATAAATGTAACATTTTTTATGGCATTATTAATGATGAAATTTGACCTTAAATACATGCAAATGTAAAGACTTGAATTTCAAGTTAATTTTAAGTTAATTTTAAAGTTATATTTTCGTGTAAGACACATTCTTTAATTATCCAGTTATCTCTTAAACGTCACATATGTCACAGATAAAAAAATGTCTAATTCTTACATTTCAATTTTTCAACAATTTTTATAAACATACACATATATATATATATATAAAACCCTAATAAAACAATTCAAAAAATAAATTATATTTAACATAAATCAAGAAATTGTACTCCTCTTAATTTATACACAATTTTCAGTTCAAGAGATAGAAAATTCCTGAATATTCCACGATATTTTTTTCTAGAATATACTTGCAATCACACTATACTAAACTGAAAGGAAATTTTCTAAAGGAAAAAGAGGCTTATAGAAGCCAATTTATGACGTGTCCCAACAAAAAACCTACTAAAAATGCAACACTTTGTGATTGGAGAATCCGCTGGGAGCTCGCCACATAAATTCATCCAAGAGTACCACGTAAGTTACAAATTACAGAAACGGACGCGGAAAAAGCAAGAACGAGAGCGAGAGCGAGAGTGAGAGAGAGCGAGAGAGAGAGAAAAGAGAAGTAAAATGAACTTCAACTACCGGAGGTGTTGTCGAGACGCAGCGGACTGTCCCACGGTGTTCCGCCTCCGTGCAAAATTACGAAACGCAACGGTAGGTCCGCGTGATGGGCCGACGGCGACGACGGCGACGAGGACGACGGAGGAAGCGCGGCGCGCACTCCACCGCGGTTTCGACTCACTGCTCGGAGCGCGACGTGTCCGCGCGACATGCACTCGCACTCGAACTATACGGTATATCCTCGCCGAGGTTCGTGACTCGCGTTGACGTGCGACGGGCACGACTTGCCCGTTGATGACGACGTGTCAACGGAGAGCGAGAGACGGAGAAAGAGAAAGAGAGAGAAAGAGAGAAACCAGGCGGCGGGAGGGGATAGAGAGAGAAAGAGAAGAGCGATGAAAGGAGAGACGAGGATAGAAAAAAAATGGGAGAGAGAGAAAAAATTCTGTTACGGCCGCCGAATATTTAGGTTAGCCGCGCAACGATGGTGGTCGCGGTGGCGACACGCGTACTTATCCACGACGAAACTTTGCGACGAACTTCACGTTCCACTCTCGGAGTAAAACGCGCGATTCGTGTCACTATCTCGCGCGCGCGCAGGCAACCAAGGGAGGAAAAGGAGGAAAAACGTGTGACGAGGCAAGGTACTGAAGGAACGTTGCCGTTGCTGCTACTGGCTGCTACTAACGCTGGCTACTTGCTGCTGATGCCGTTTCTACTTGCGAATCGTTGCACGCGCGAGCTATCACGAGGCGCGGATGCACGGGACGCACGTCATTTTCCCCGGACAATATGACCAGCGCGAACAACTTGCCAACCTGACCTCCGCTTCCGCGAGACTGACACCGCGAATCAGGCGAATCATCGTGCGAGTGTCAGCGCCGCCTAGCGGCGCGCTCCGTCAGCGACAGGCGCGCCATCGCGCGCCGCGATGGATCGCGTTTCCCGCGCGAGTTTACCGTGATAGATCGTTGACGATCAAACGGTCATCGAGATGAACCCGCGGTCATTTCCGAAACGTCCGGCATCGCGATGAGTACGCTCGCGAGCGCAACGTCCCGATGAACGGCGTCGCGACGCCCATCTGTGACGACCAGCGACGACACGCGTCTCGCGGATAGCGAGCATGTGGAGCGACGCCATTGGCTGAGCGACGCGTGACGCGATGCGCGGCTATTTTCAGACTTCTGCTAGGCTATTTCCTTGGCGCGTATTTTAAGACGCCCGTCCGGTGACGGGACCGTCCGCGGTGTGTTTCCCATTACGTAACCGCGACGTCGACGAGCGATGGGCTGCCGACTGTACGATTGTTGACCGAGGACAATCTTGCCCTAATAAATTCTTAAGGATGTATCAAGAAGTCGAAGATAAATCTTTAAACAAGATGAAAATTGTAAAAGTGAGCGAATTTACTGGAATATTCGTAATTTCATTGATCAATGTCTGGTGAATTTGCTCATTTTTATCATTTTTGTCATTTTTGTCTCATTTTAAGATATACAATCGATGGCTTGGAGTATAATCGTTTGAAAAAATGACTACCTTGGTGGAAAAATTTGTTCAAATGTGAAATTATCTTAAATGTTTCCGAAAAATGTCGAAATGTACAATTTCGGACAATTGTAGGTAAAATGAGATACTTTCCATCAAATTTCGGTAATAATATCTAAATTTATTAGAATTTGTCATTTTTTATATTTTTCAGACAAACTCTAACAAATTTTTTTCACCAGGATAGATATTCATAGTCAATTTTTATATTTGAAATTGTCTTAATTACAGTCTTAAGATGTCATGAGCCAATCAGAGAGTCATATTAATACCTTAAGATTACTCAATTACCTTATTATTACTCAAATATGTTTTAAAAGAATAAACTATGAAGATTCATCTTAAAATTGAAAATTTGTACTTTTCACATAAAAATAAATGTCGTATGAAACAATTCAATAAGATTAATATTATATTTAAGAATAATATATTTAAGGGTCATATGAAATAGTTCAATGAGATATTCAATACTTATATTTAATAATACCATTTTATAGTTTAAATAATGCTTTATTATTTTATCTTAATTTTTTTGAAAAACATCTACTTCTTTTGAAATAATTTTTTATTGTGGTTCTAAATTATGGGCAAAACTTTTTGTGTTATTTTCTAATACAATATAGGAAAATTTATTCCATTTTGTTAAAAAAAATGTGTACAATACATTCTTAACTCGTTCGCCGAAATTCCGTTTCGCGAAGCGCGATTCTTCGTAAAAAACGTGAAAGATCGTTATTTTTCCTTATAGAAATTTAATATTGGAAAGTAATAATTAATTATTATTTTGAGTATTATTAAAAGCATTAAACGACAGTGCTTTTAATACTCAAAATAATTAAATTTCAGTATTAAATTTGTCAGTATTAAATTAGATTTCTGTAAGAGTCATGATGAACGAAAGATTTATTCGCATTGTTTGAAATCCTCAAAAACTTTTGCACTTAAAAACAAGATAAATGTGTATTCGATATGAAAAAGAAGAAAAGGAAGAAAATGAAGAATCTGAGTGCAAAAAGTGCAAACAATGCGAACGGATCTGAAGTTTCTGAAAATTCATTTTTTCGCATTAGTTCTTTTTTTCTTTTCTTTTTTTTTAAAATCTATTTCGAATTTCTTACGTATAGTGTGACGCGATCTAGCTGATTTTTTATTTCGCAACGAGATGAATGGTTTGAATGTCTCATTTCATCGAAAAACGAAATGTTAATACAATTCCAAGCAAATGGTCCACATTATTAATACCGACGTGACACACGATGAAGTTATTATTTATATCCACGCGGCATAAACAAGTCCGGAGGTAAGCAACGTTCGCTTGAATGATGAATTGCGTCAGAAGTACAAAATGATAATACAAGTACATATCTACAATAGCAGTCATAAATTTTAAGTTGTAAGAAATCGACAGTCACAGTCGATTGTTTCACCTCCCATTCGATTGTGATTAGTCAATTTCTTATGACTTAAGACTTATAACTCCTATTACAGCTCCCGCGTAACAAGAAAAGAAATGTATGAATGAGCCCTTTGATATAATTCTCTTCAATTGAATTTTTAGGATTGCCACAAAACTGAAAATCAAAGAAATATCAATGAAATTGTAAATGGTCAGAGAAATCAGAAGAAATCAGGAAATTTTCTACAAAATTAATAGAAATTATTTTGCTTTAAAGAAGTTTAATATGAATAGACTCTTGTCAGTTTTAAAATATTACTAACTTAAAAATTAAATGCAATATCAGCAATATAATTAAGTAGTAATCAGCAATAAATTAATAATGATTTACATGACTATGTTAAATTGCTCTTTCAACATAATATTCGACAGTTTTCAAATTAGAAATACAAAAAATTTTAAAATATTGTTAAAATCATTAAAAAGAAAATCATGAAATTTTGTTTAGAAATTAGGCAAAAGTGGAATTTTAAGATAAAAAATTTGTGATAATCCTTCTTTCAAATTTCTTTTCTTGCTTAAACACGCAATTAAACGCAATGCAATTCTAAAATCTGGGTCAAGTTCAAAGGTGTCGATTAAAATAGTCAGAATAAAGTCGAGAATACGATTATAAATAATTTTTCGAATTAATTGCAAACTTAAGCAACACACGATCTTTGGCTCTATTCTGTTTTCCCATAATCTCTGATAATTCTCCATTAATTTTCCATGGAAATTTACATCGAAAGGACGATTTTATTGAAATATCAAAAATTTAATTAGATCTGAAAATAATTTTGTTGGATAATCATAATAATTATATAGCTTAAACTGACAGAATGTACGTCGAAACTTTTTGCAACATTGCTTTTCATGCTTGAAATTTATATTATTTATATAATTATTTTGATGGTCCAGCAAAATTATTTTCCGATCGGTATCCAATTAAATTTTTACACATTTCAACAAATCGTTCTTTCCATACGAGATAACATATTTAATGGTAACGCTCGTTAAAATTGTTAACAAGCGCTTCAAAATAGTTATTCATACACAGAGGAAACGATAATTTACTGAACTATCTAAAAATTGAAATAACTACAGATCTGAAAATAATTTTATTAGACTATCAAAATAATTATGTAAAAATTTAAAACATGAGGAGCAATATTGTAAAAAGTTTTAACATTCTAACAATCAGTTTTAGTGAGTCCTAAATAATTATTTTCATAGTTCAACAAAACTCTTATTTTCAAATCTGTATCTTTCTAAATTTTTAGTCACTTTAGCAAAACCATTCTTTTCGCGTTTCACGCTATCTTTCTAGAATTAGAAATCTATCAATTAAAATAAAATGAATTTTCTCTTCCTCGGTTTTTATTTTCAAGGTCGTTTTCACTACATTCTGCGAAATTCCTTTTCAATGAATATTTATGTCTGCCACGATACATTTATATGAGCACACGTTAGAGGCTAAATGCACCCGCCTGTAATTCTCGCGACTGATTCTATCCAACTCTTCATCACCCCATAATTATTGAACGTTAACTTCCCTTATTAATTCGCAAATTCGAGGCGGCACGGTCGGAACGAAGAGCGT